AGGGTTTTGGGGCTCCTTATGATAATTATAGCTAAAGGAAACTACAGGTGGGGAGTTTAGGTTACATCGGATTTCTATAAGGCTTCTATAAGGTATATAGACCCTCTATAAGGCTCCCATAGCGGTAACTACCCACCTGAAAATGTCCTAATTATAGTATCATATAATACCCCCAAACCCTGCTCTAATTTATTAAGGCCACTACACTGCACAAATCACGATCTCACAGAAAGCGGCCTCAGAGACCAGCCCTGAAACCCAAAGTAAGCCGTACCTATAGTCTCCATTGTAGTTCTTTTTTTGGTTTAACCATTTCTATATTCAGGATCCTATAAGGTAACCCCAAAACGGAACTACAATGGAGACGATAGGTATACCTGAACCCTAAAACCCGAACCGTGACCCGGAAAACCAAGTCATACCTCCGGCCTCATTATTCATGGGATCAGGTTCACCATTAATCTACGGGCCTTCACAATTATTAGAAGAGTGATACTATAACTATATTAAGGAGCCCCCCCAAAACAGTCTTAGACCCAAAACCCCTAAAGAACCCTTATGGAAAAGGCCTTATAGTATCCCTAATTACAGAATCCTTATACGTTCATGGGTTCTCAAAGCCCAGGGAACCCCAGAAACGAATGGAAACCCTAAGCCCTAAACCGGTCAAGTGGCCTTGTCGTGCAGTTGGGAGCTCGTAGCTTCGACGTGCGTGGTTTCGGAGCTCGCCTGGCGTGATTTAGGGCTTAGGGTTTAGGGTTCAGGGTTTAGGGTTTAGGGTTTATAGGATTTAGGGATTTAGGGTTTAGGCATGTAGGGTGTAGGGTTTAGGGTCTTAGGGTTTAGGGTGTAGGGTTTAGGGTTATAACCTGCTCCGCGGCGTGGCGGCTGCTTCTTGAATCATGTTGGAGACTTCCCTGCACTCTGTTCTGGGCGATGAGTCTACAGGTGTAACCCTAAGGGTCAATGTTTCCATATAGCTGGTATACGCTTTGGCCCCAAAGTACATACATACATGTATATATATATATACCCTAAACCCTAGACCCTAAACCCTAAACCTACAATATATATATATATATGCATACATATATATATATATATCGGTACTTCGGGCCAAAAGTGTATATTAGATAGCTATAGACATGGACCCTTGAGGAAACCGGGTTCAGTGTGTCAGGCTCAGGGCTCAAAGCTACAGATCTGAAGCATATACCTACCTATAGTCTCCATTGTAGTTCCCTAAACCAATTATATATTAAGGAGTTTATAAGGCATCCCCAAAAAGGAACTACAATGGAGACGATACCTATAGTCTCCTTCTTGATTCCTGTTTGTGGTAATCCGGTTTTTATAGTTAGGATGACATATTGTGAAGCTGGTTCGCCAAAGCAGGACCACAATGCAGGCTATGGGTACCTGCTAAAAGCGAGATCTACACCCTCTGCCAAGCATAGATACCCTAAGCCCTGAACCATACCCCAAACCCCCTTCCCAAGCCTCAAGCGTAAAACATCTGAACACTCCCACAAGCTCCAAAATCCTACGAACTATGTCGAACCCTTTGGCTGCATAGCCTCAAGAACCCCTGTACACCGGAGCACCACTACCCCCTATGAGCCCCGCAAGCCCTCATAACCTCAGCAACCCAAATTGTAAACCTTACAAAATCTAGAATTCGAAGCCGCCAATGTAACCTGCTAATCCAGGACCCTAAACCCTAGACCCTGATTCTAAACTTGCTAGCCCCAAGTAAAACCCGAACATAAACTATTTACAAGGAACTTTAAAAACCTTAAACTCCCCAGACCCCGAACCTTACAAACCCTAAACTCTCTCTCTCAACCCTAAACCCAAACCTCATAATTCCTTAAACTCCCTAAACTCCCTCAACCCTAAATCCAAACCGTCTATACCCTAAACTCTAGATCCTAAACACAAATCCTAAAGTGTACCTAAACCCTAAACCTTGAACCCTATGTTTAAAGGCCCCGAGACGAACACTCTGCGCGGCCTGGCCCACCAGCTGTGCCCAGGCGGACTCGGCGCTCCTCAGGGCGCCGTCCACGTCCGCGGCGATGCGGAAGCACTGGGGGCGTGTAGGGCTTACAGGGTATAGGGTGTAGGGTTTAGGGGTTAGGGCTTATAGCGTTTAGGGCTTGTAGGGTTTAGGGGTTAGGGCTTCTAGGGTAATTATAGGGTTTAGGGTTTAGGGTTGAGGGCTTATAGGGTATAGGGTATAGGGTTTAGGGTTTAGGGGTTTGGGGGTTGAGGGGTTGAGGGTTTATCGGTTTCTTGTCTCAAGCGTGGAGGGTTTTCAGGGTGAGGTTTGTTGCCGTCGAAGGGTGAGGCTTGTTAAGGTTCCAGGATGAGGTTTGTCAGGGCTTAAGGATGAGAGTCTTGGGATCAGATCTGTCTGGGGTTATGACTCGATAGTATATCTATAGTCTCAATTGCAGTTCCTTTCTTGGTCTAGCCAATCTGAACTTTAGGATCCTATGGCCCAACATAGGAACTAGGACGGAGACCATAGGTAATACCCTAGAACCGAAACCCTAAACCCCGAACTCTGAACCCTAAGCCCTAAACCTCGAAGTTTTCAAGAGATCATGTTCCAGAACGTTCGAAGGGGGTTTGGAGCCCAGGTTCTTTAGTGATCCGGGTTTAGGGCTTAGGGTTTAGGGCTTAGCTCTTAAGCAGTTTGTAACACTACAGGGATCAGGGTTTCGGGTTTAAGGCTTAAGCTTATATTTCTATTGGGGTTTAGGGTTAGGGGTTAAAGGCTCAAGCAGTTTGTAATATTATAGGGACCAGGGTTTAGGGGTAATGCTTCTACCTCATTTGTAGCAAGGGCCCTTTCCAGAACCAGGCCCAAGCAACGTTTTAAGGTAGACCAGATGTCCTTCCACGGCCACTGTTCCACTCTGGTCATTACCTGTAGTCTCCATTGTAGTTCCATTTTGGGGATACCTTATAAAACCCTTAATATATGATTGGTTAAACCACAAAAGGAACTACAATGGAGACTATAGGTAGGGCGTAATTACAGCGAGGCTAGAAGACACTGTAGTCAGCGACGCAGCCACTCACGGGGTTGAACCAAACCTTGCGGCTGTGTGGTCATTCGCTGTCTCCGTGGTCAAAGCGCGTCGTCCTTGAAGCTGCGACTGTGGTCCTTTTACGGCGCCTCAAGGTAACTTGGTGGCTACCCTAGTGGTCCCACAGCTCCCACGGAGAGAATGCAGGAGGCAACTCCTTGGCAAGCGCGAACCAATTCATGGCAAGTACATGGGTCACTGCAAAACGAACAAGAAGCTTCCGACTCCTGCCCCACATCGGTCACTAGTTAGTTTCAGTCTTGAACAGAAAGATGCAGCTTTGCATGGCTGCTGAGCTGGAAGCAAGGCTTGCTCTGCCAGCTCAGATGCAGGTCTGCAGAGCTGCTGGGCCGGAAGCAGACTACTTAAAGGATCATGGTATTTAGTGAGTAGGGTCAGAACTAAGGTAACTATACTTATAAC